GGGGTGCTGGCCAGGAGCAAAATGAGTCCTGAATTCATCTCCAGAATAAAGAACCAGCGGATCTACAATTATCCCAGCAGGGGCAAAGATAAGGGACCACAGAGCGATCATTCTCCTCTGGGGAGTCTTTCCTATAAGCAGAGTTTTGCAGATTGAGGCTGCAGCACAGGAAAGCCAGGCCCATGATCTGAGAAACGCTATTACCCAAGGAAGATCTGCATGAGGAGCTTGCTCACCAGCCCCTTGGATTTTGTGATTAGCTGCTCATGAGGCAATTGTGCCACTTAGATGGGTGAGAGAAGGACTGCGAAGGGACCAAGAGAGTTTGTCAGGGCTCCCGTCCTGCTGTGGAAAAGAGCTGGTTGGTCAGGGCCAACCTGCTGCCCGGGGCAGAGCGGAGGCTGAAGGAGAGGCCTGGGCACGAGGCCACGAAGCAGAAAGGTTGTACGGGGGGATGCACGTGTCCCTCGCTTGCAGAGTAGGACGATCCACCTCGCTTAAAACTACGTAGAACAGATGTCCCCTGTGTCTTGGTAGAATGTGTGGGACCGCATCAGTAGACCAGACAGCATTCTTTAACCAAGGACAACAACTGCTTGTTAAAATCAGTTTGGTTTTTTTTGTTGTTGTTGTTTTTTTTAAAACACTGGAAACTTGGCAGGAAGAAGTAAGATTCATCTATCCTTAAGTGAACTGCTTTTGTTATAATACTGAAAATCACACCCCTAGGTCAGAAGACCCTTGCTCAGGTGAAGACCCTTTCCCTGAGCATACCTAACAGTGGCCATGATGAGCACGCAATATTATGATTGTATGGAGATTACTGACCAGTGTAAGAAGGGTGGACTTGGGAAAATGGCCGAGTGTAAATACAGGAAGGTCCGGAGGATGTGCTTGAGTTGGGGGAACCTCCCCAAGCACCTGGGCTTGCTCAGCTCCAAAACCAACAGGGAAACATCTCCTGCATGTGCTCATCGGCTCATTGCACCCTGGCTGGGAAGTTGCTTTTTGGACAACGCCTTGATGGTCTGGAGTTTGAAAGAAAAACCAGCCCATAGCAGGTGTGAGGTCTAAAGAAGAGAAGGGAGCAGCCCATAGCAGGTGTGAGGTCTAAAGACAGGGGAGTCCTCCAGCAGGTAGGAACTGCCCCCTTGCTCCTTCTTACGTCTCTGCTTCCTCCCCTTGCAGAAAAGGCCCAGTATGGTGAACTGCACCCAAAGCAACGACACGATTCAGGACGGGGTCCTGCTTTTCCAGCTAATTGTCTACATCCCAGTTCTCGCCTTCGGGATCCCGCTCAATGCGATTGCCTTCTGGGTCTTCTGCTGGAAGCTGAAAAGGTGGACCGAGACCAGAGTGTACCTCATCAACCTGATGATTGCTGACTGTTCCCTGCTCTTCGCTCTGCCTTTCTTGATTTATTTTCACCGGCGACAGCACCAGACAGGAAAGCTTTGCTTCGCCATACAGTGCATATACTTTACAAACATGCCCATGAGCATCCTCATCATCACCATGATTGCAATCGATCGATACATTGCAATAAAGTTCCCTCTAAAAGCAAAAACTCTTAGGTCCCCGCTGAAATCAGCTTCCATGTGTGGACTTCTATGGATAATACTCGTAATATATGCCTACTTCCATCCAAAGTTTGAAGAAGGAGAGGAAGAATTTTGCTTTCAAAAGAGAGCTTCTCGGCCTAACTATTCATCATTACTCTCCATTTTTGGTTATTTTGTTGCCTTGGGGATTGTGGTTTTCTGTTCAGTGGAAGTTATCAAATGTCTCAAAAAGAAGATGTCCGAAAGCCCTCATGAGACAAAGCTAATCCAGAAAGCGCTCCACATTATCTCTGTCAATTTGTGTGTGTTCATTTTATGCTTTTTACCCTTGTACACTGTACTGCTCTTGCGGTTTGCAGTGGATGTTGCCGGAGCCTGTTCTCTGGTCTGGCCTCTTAGAATGTCTGTTCACATCTTGGCGTGTTTAGCAAATGCCAACTGCTGCTTGGATGGGTTTTGCTATTACTTTGCAGCCAAGGAATTTCAGGAAATTTCCTCTCTGCTCCCCCCGTGTATGTTCATGAGGTCTAGGATGAACCAAAGTCAAGAGTCACAGCAACCCACAGATCAAGTCATGACATAAGCAAACTTTGGTGCACTACTGACATCAGTTCCATGCCATTCTTAAGAGCCACTTCAAGTTCTGAGGCAGAGGGAATGGGACCACCAGTAACTGTAATGTTTGGGAGTATGGGCATAAATAAAATTAATAATAATAATAATAAAGGAGTCAATCCCCTCAAAGAGGGCTGGTGCTGACTTGGCTTTTGTGCTTCTGACTTCACTGACTTGAATTCAGCTCTGGTTCTAGCCTCAAACCCGGTTCAAGTGTTTCCCCTTCACGAGGGAGGGTCACAGGGTACAGAGAGTAGATGAGGTGGTTGGTTTGGTCATGTACTCATTTATAAGATATGCATGCAGCTAAACAAGAGTAACTGAGTTCTCTTTCATTAATGCACAAATCCACTGTTAGTACTTTAATACATATCATCATTAAAAAAAAAAAAAAGCACAGTATTACAGTTCAAAGCCTAATATATCTGTACTGCTCCCAGTAAGAGATTTGCCTGTAGGGGTAGTTTCCTGACACCCAATATGTGTTTGTGCCATCAGAATTAGCTATTCCTGCGTGCGAGTCAGAATATGGTATGAGAACATCGTCTGTTCCTGCCATATAACATTTGTGTTAGCCTGGAGCAATGATCTGACATTTGTAAGACTAAAGCCATAAAGGAATGGAAATGACAAAGTCATAAATAAAGGTATTAAAAAAAAAAAAATCACAAGTTGCCCAGCGTTACTGTCCATACAACACTTAGCAGCAGGACGCAGCTCTGCACCCAGCAGGTACAAGGCTGTGAAGAGCCGCCCTCACTCCGCTGGGCACTGCGACCCCGGTGACGGGACCGTGGCTGCTCCTGCGCGGGGTCCCGTCCCGGGTCCCGCGTGGTGACGAGCGGCCGTTTCCGCCCGCGTCGTCCCAGCGCCGCC